AGAACTGCCTCTACAACGTGCTGGAGCGGCCCCGCGGCTGGGCTTTCGTCTACCACGTCTTCATGTGAGTGCGGGTTTTTCCACTGCCGGCTCTTTTGGGGTTTCTGGTTTCACTTGCCTCTCCCCGAGGGAGGAGAGCAGGAAAAATTGGGCTGGAGTAGCAGGGGGCAGCCTGGGACCCGGTCAGGGATCTCGCCCCCCCACTTCTTTTTGTAGTATTATTCTTTAAAGTTTGAAGTCGCAGCTTCTGCTTTCCCTGACTTTGCGCCGCCCCAAAACAGAAACAGCAGCAGTCAGCCCTCGGGTCGCGGGCGCCAGGCCGGCCACCTCCGGCGGCGGTGGGATGCCGAGAAGGGGGTGCGGCGCCGTCTTTGTCACCCCAGGCTGGGTAGCTTTGGCTTAGCTGAGCTTCGGGAACAAAAGATTTAAGCTTTTAATCCCCTCCCTGCTGTCGACGGACTTTGTCTGCAAAGTTTAGGGTGGACGTTCAGGGCTTTTTACAGGCAAATTCGTAAAAAACAAAACAACCCCCCCTCGAGCTCCGATGCAGCTAAGTCCTAAGACAGACCTCTGTAAACCGGACGAGCTTTCGAGATGTCCTGGCATGGAGAGGAAACAGAAACACTCTCTGGTTAACTGCCCTTTTTTGTTTTGGTTTGTTTTAATCCCAATAAAGCTTCTGCCCTAGAAAGAAGTTTTCCAGCAAGGAAGGCAACGTCTGCGGCGCACCGATCGCGGTGTGGTGGGCGCTGTCACAAACCTTCCCCAGATGTAGCTAGAAAGCCGGGGACACACGGGTCTTAATTTCATTAGCACGCTCCCGTTCTCCAGGACGGCGAAGGGGAGACAGTGTCATTTATCACCCCGTGGCGTAGAAAGCGGCGGAGCGCAATGTGCGGGTGCCTGGGAGAGGCGCGATGAAGAGTGATTGCATTAGGACACTCTTTGCGCTGACTGCGATATAATTGCTCTGGTACAGAAGGCAACGCACTAATGATCGGTGAGTTAATCGCGCCGTGCGGAGACGTTTCTCGGGTTCAGCAAAAACTGGGCAATTATGCACAAAACCGAAGGGGGGCCAGGAGGCAGCCGCACCTCTGCCGCCCTCCCACGTCAGCTGGCGTTCACGTGCGGGGCACGGGCGCGGGAAATGAGCGAGTGTGTCTTTCCGCTGAGTTCGCTGGGGGTGCTCTTCTGCTCCCGACGGTTGCGGGGGAGGTCTGTAAATCAAAGAGCAGGTGTTTCGGGTCCCATCGGTCCCACAGTTTTCTCTGTTAACTGAGTTACTGGGGGTGCACACGTGTTTGTTCTCTCTGGGTGTGCAGGGGAAGCAGGCCAAGGCCCCTGGCTCAGACGTGCTGGGCCCCCCTTCTATGTGGCATGAAATAAATATGGGCCTGGGCCCAGGGAAGAGCCCCTGTGGCCTCTCCCTTTGCTGCCCAGGCCCTGAGTCTGCAGTGGGTGAGGGGGTGACACATCCTTCGGACTGCCCCGATCGCCGTGCAGGTTCTTATCACCCATGCCACATACCCGCTGTACATCCTTCCTCAGACCACGAGCATGTTCGGTGGAGGAGCTGGGGCAGAGAAGGGACTAGTGGCTGGGATGTGTGATGGTGTGGAGGGGTGAAGAACCGTTAGGCCTCTTCTGAGTCCAGTATTATTTGGCTACTGCTTCTCCATGCGGCTGTTCCCCAGCCCTTCAGCGTGCCAGCACCTCCCCAGTGCAGAAAGGGCATCAGCCAGGATCTGCAAAGCACCAGGAAGCTGGCTGGGCATCGTGGCATGGGAGTTTGGTGTGCACAACCCTGCCTGCCAGCCCTCTGTGCTCAGGTGTGTGCGTGGACATGCCTTCATGAGCTCCGTGCAGCCGGTTTGCACATGCAAATACACGTAGATATTTGGAGCCACCAGCCAGCAAATCTCTTCCTGCTTCCTTTTGGTACGTGAGGATATGTGGCTTCTCCCCCACCCCTTCAGCTGGGGCAGATGAAGCTTGCAGAGTCTCCAGCTGGAGTCTTTGTTCTCGGCCCTGCCCCAACTGCGGCAGTGTGGTGCAGCGGGTAGGGCACTGGCCTGGGAGACCAGGGTTCAGATGCTGACCTGGGCTGTGCCTGGGGGGGTTTCTTCTCCTGGCTCCATGTCCCTTGGTGCTCTCGCCCTCGGGTCTTTTTTGAGTGACAGCTCAGGGCCAGGGCCCGGCTCTTGCTCTGTCCATGTGTGTTGGGGTCGGGGCTCAGGGGAAGGTCCCTGGTGAGTGCAGCAGGCCACGGACCAGGGTGGGAGCTCCTTGGTGCTGACAGAGTTGCAAGAAACGAAATGCTGCCAGTCTCTGCCTCCAGGATCTTCCTATCCAAAAAGAGCAGATGGGAAAGAAGCACCTGGGTGAATGCACAGGCTTGGGGACGGCATCTTGGCCATCTCCCACTTGTGGGCATTGCAGATGCAGCCTGCTCATCGGAGGTGTTTGGTTGGGAAGGGGGCACCTACCCCCTGGCCTTGCTGGCCCTCTCCTGCCCGCACGTTGTGAAGCCAGGGGGTCTTGGGGCTGTGGCAGGCAGCAGGGCCGGGGTGCCTTGTGCCTTCTCATTGCTTCTGAAGCCCTGCAGGAAGCCTGGCCGAGTCCTAGCTGGGGATCCTGCTCCCGGACCTCTTGGATAGTGCTTGCCATGGTGTCCAGGGGTAGAGGCGGAGGGGGCCGGATTGCTCCTGCAGGGTCTGTGTGCTCAGGGGTCAGTGCGGAGCGGCAACGAGCCCATCTAGGCCTCTGGCCCTGGGGCTACTTTCTTGTCGTCTCGGAGCCTGAAGCTGCGAGGTGCTGAGCACAGACAGGACCCCATGCAGCTGAGGACTCTTCAGGAGCAGAAATGTTCCTAGAACAAATGGCTTGAGCTTATGCAGCAGATTAAACTCCCAGGGGACTTGTCTGCAACCCAGGGTGGAGATAGCAGCCAGGCTTGTTGCCTGCCATGATCCCGTGGTCTCCCAGAGAGTCCGCAAGCATCTGGAGGGAGCTCAGAGACCTGGCTGTCGGACGGTGGAGGGGCTCTCACTGGAAGGCTGCCTCCAGGGAGCCCAAGAACTTCTTCAGACTGGGTCTCGGGACACCTAGGTTCAATTTGTGGTGCTGCCAGTGCCCCCTGAGGCTGTATAGCATCTCCTGCCTGCCTCTGTTTCCCCATTGTGCACATCAGGACCTTGATCTTTTCCTGAAAGCACTTGGTGACCTGACTTCCAGCTAGAGACCTGCAAGGTGTTACAAGTCAGCCAGCTCCGCAGGTCCGTGACCTCTGCAACCCTGGGGCACGGCCTTTCTGGACCACATGCAGGCAGGCACCTCTGGGTTACCCCTGCTCAGGCCCATTTCACAGGGCAGTATTATTTACAGGCCTCTCTCATGCATCTCATCCCCTGCAGGTAGCAGTTGGCAGCTCCCTTGCCCTTATACTCCCAGCGCTGGGAGTGGAAGAGAGTGGGGTGGACAGCAGGAGCCTCTTGGCTGGGGAAGTATGGGTGGGGTACAGGGGCTGTGCATCTCCCCTTTCTAAGGGCAGCCAAGTTCAGCCCCGGTCCAGCACTGAGTGCCCAAGCCTCTGTGTTCCCGTGTGCACGGGTGTGTGTGCGTGACCATGATCCATGCATCTTGCGTGTGCACCCTGGCTTTTGGCTGTGATGTTCTCCATCAGCGAGAGCGTGATCCCTGCAGGTCCAGTGTTGGGCCGTAGGAGGCAGCCAGGATGTCACTGCCACACTGCCTCTCCCAATTTTGGGGGAATTCTAATGCAGTGCTGAATCGGGAACCGGCTGCGCGAGTCTGAGCTCGTTAATAGGAAGGAAAGTGGGTCTCGCTTAAGTTAGCATATTGAGATGGAACAACGTATTTGTCACTCGGTAACAGGGCACCTGTGGTCCCCGGGGAGATCTGATGGGACCTAGCAGTCCATTTGTAACCAGTCGCGACACCTTGAAGTTGTTAGCGGGCTCTTCTTAGTTTGTTTTATTGGGTTTTATTTTGCAAATGCCGCACCAGAAGAAGAGCTTTTTCCTGCAAGGAATTATTGCCAGCAGCTGGAGCCTCCTGGGGTGGAAGGGATGGCAGTGCTTTGTTATACAGATAGTTGCTGTGCTTTGAAAGAAGAGCGAGCAGGGTGGGGAAGAAGGGACCTTTCCTTTGGAGAGTAATGAGGCTGGGGAATACACGCATCCACAACTGCACATGTTTACACACACCCCACCTCTCTCTCACGCTCACTCGTAGTTGCACTAAAAATATAACTCCAGCAGGACAAACCCATTGCTAGCCCCCCCATGACACAGCACTTGCTTGGCAGCATGAAGCATCCTTCGAGACCCACCTGTGCGTTCTGGTTTCCATTAATGCATGCAGCCCTCATGGAAACTGGGCAAGAGGCTTCCTGCTTCTGTGACTCGGCTCCTGCCAGCGCCCTCGCTTTGGAAGCCCTTGAGAGAGAATCTGATCCCTTGGAAGAGGGCCTGAGCCTCTCTCCCTTCATCCTCGCCCGTGCGGCTCGTGCCTCTTTTTCCAAGAGGCATCGATGGGGAGGTGCAGCGTTGGGGGGGGGGGTCTGGGCAGGGGAGTTTCAGCACCCAGGTGTGACTGTCTACACTAGAGTCTTTCCTAGGGTGCTGAGTCCTGGGCTTGTCCTGGCACCTTACGTACAGCGAGGTCTGCTCGCTCAAACACGCTCCATCTGCCCGTGCTCTGGGACCTGGCTCTCAATCAGGCAAGGCACCTCGACTCGTGACGTCCTTGGCCTGGGCTCCAGGGAATAAGATACCCACCCTGCCCCTGTGACTAGTCCCACCCTCCTCCTATGGCTTTTGTCATCCCTTGTTTGCAAGCTCCTTGGGGCAGGGACTTTGCATCCCAGGTGCATACGGCCCCTAGCGCGCTGGCACCCCTGCCCTGCCTGGCACCTTTTGCCCGCCGCCAGGAGACAAACCCTCCAGCAACAAGGCCGCACCTTTCCCTTGCCAAGGGGCAGAAGGGTAATTGGGCAGATGCCAGTGACGACACCCCAGTAGCAGGTGGATCGAGCCTCCA